CGTCTCGACGGGCACGTCGTAGGCCGTGCCGGGCAGGCGCGCCAGCGCCTCCTCGGCGAGCTGGCGCAGAGCCGGTCGCAGTGCTCGACGTAGGTGCGCTGCGGCGTCGACTTGCGCCGGATCGTCGTGAGCAGGGCCTTCATGGCCAGGCTGTCGAGCACGACGGCGTTCGAGTGGGCCAGCTTGCGCTGGTAGCCCGACAGCTCGTTGGGCTGGCGCTTGAGGGCGGCCAGCACGACGCAGCCCTCGCCGACGATGCCGAGGCACGCGGACCCCTGCTTGACGGCCTCCATGGCGTACTCGACCTGGAGGAGGCGACCCTGGGGGCTCCACACCGTCACGTCCGTGTCGTACTGGGAGCGGAACATGGTCGCGGACGCGGGGGCGGCTCAGGCGCCCCGGTTCCCCTGCGCGCGCGACGACTTGGCCGTCGAAAGGCGCTCACTCGAGCAGGCACAGACCGCGAGCGTCTCGTGGGCGCCAGATTTTGCCCCGGCGGCGACCCGGCGTCGTCGCCGCGCGCTGGCGCAGGCGCGCGCCGATCCGGACCCCTAGCACCCACACGGACCCATCCTCCGGAGTGTGCACAGCTCCTGCCGACCAACATACCCAGTAGGTTTTAAACACGCCGCGTCACCCCGCGGCCTCGCGCGCGGCCTCGTCGGTGAGGTACCGGAGGATCGCCTCCGTGCCCGGCCCGTCGACGTCGTCGTCGTCGCCCGCGAGGACGCCGCGGAACGCGTCGAGGGCGCCGTCGTCGCGGTCGACGAAGCGCAGGCTCCGGTCCGGGTCGCCGGCGTCGCCGTCGAAGAGCGCCGCGCGGTCGCCTGGGCAGGACAAGGGTGATTCAACGTCGCTTCAACGTGAGTGTTCCGCGCGCGCGCGTTCCGGGAAAAGCATCCACGCTTCGAGACCGTTCCGAGAGATGATCGCTCGTCCAAAAATCAGCCGAAACGAGTGGAAAACGGCCGAGATATGAGCCTTTGAAGTTGGGAATTTCGCTCTCTTGTCCTGCCCTGGCGATCGCCCGACG